AAAAAATGAATTTTGGAGGGCTGTCGGTTCCAAAGATTTTAGTATAATAGAAGTTTGAAAACGTTAATAAATCATGGGAGTGTTATTATTGAGAACTGTTTGGTTGTCAATATATTTAAATCTCTAAATCTTGAAACTGTTGGAATGGATGGATTTATTTGGCTGTTTGAAATTAGAAAATAGGTTTTTAAATATTATGAATTTATTATATTTCATTATTTGGTTGGATTCATTTAGAAATCAATTTGGATTTCAACTCAGCAAACTCCTTCAAATTTCTTAAAAGATGATGATTTCATTTTCACGTTGAAAATGAAACTATCATTTTCCTTAAACATAATTTCCATCTAAAAAACTTCCAAATTAACCCTAATGTAATTTACCAAATCCTTAAATCCTTCTTTAAATTTCTTAATCATAAGTTTAGGCTTTTCCTGCCAAATTCTGGATATATATATTTATATTTATATTTATGAATTTGCAGGATTATGGAGAGGAGGATTCATACTATTATGAATATGAAGATTATATAATGTGAGATATATGAGTTTAGAACTTACAGTGTTATATATATCTTCTCCTCTACCAATTTTTGAGTATTGCAGTTGTGCAAGATAAAGTAACAATTAACATTATATGAAGATTCAAAGAGAGAATTTATGAATATAATGTGATTTTGATGGTACACTTTTTTATTATATTATTTATCATTTTGTATAACAAGTGTAACAAACAAAAAATTTAAAACCTCCGATGCCGGTCCCAAATTCGGGTGAAAAAGATTGTGTTTTTTTAGTATTGATAATTTGTGCCCCACACCAAAAAAAAACCTAGCTCCACCACTGGGTGGAATGGATCAAGATGGATTCATCACCAGTGCAGTATCAAAGTTTTCAATGGAAAAAAGATGACCAGGCAGTTGACAAGAAAGAGAGAGGACACTCCTCTTCAATCAGATGTCAGGGTAGGGTATCAAGCTTCTATTAAGAAGATGGTTTCAATGAAAGCAAAAAAAGCTCTGGTTGATTTGTTGTTTAAGCAGAATCGTCTAGGATAAACGCTAGATCATTCTTTTATGGATTATGATAAATTTTTTGGAGCTGCTATAGCTTATCTTGTTGAAGAGGTTAGTTGGATTTCTCTTTAAATTTGCTTATTTTATTTCAACTTCTTAAACATATATGCTTATTAGGTTTCTTGAGTATGAGATTATAAGATGTGGTATTGCCTATTTATGCATGAGTTGGATAAAGACAAATTATGCGATAGCATATGAAAATCTAAATTTACCAAGGATCCTCTTAGGGGCTGTTTGGGTGCGTGAATTAGGAGGATAAAGTAAAATAAATACATGTATTTAATAAATACGGTTGTTTGGTTATTTCAGAATCGTCTAGGATACGGGAAGTGTTTCTTGCGAAATAGAAACCCGCTCATATTGAGCGGGTTATAAAATCGCTCGATGAAATCCTTGGGATCGTCGTTGCTGTTCGGCTTCATTGCTTCGCAGGAGGTGTAAGATTGCACGAGTGGCTTCTTCGGCTCCTTCATTCTTGTTCGACTTCGCTCCTTAGACGACGTTCCCTTTTCCTCTCGGATCGGAAGTTGCGACATTTTGATCGGAAGTAAGGACGGGAGCTCGCTAGCTGTGAAGGTAACTTTCTACCTTTTGCGCGTTCTTCGAGATCCCGTCAATCCGCCGAACTACAGGATTTGGTAAAAAAGGAAAATTTATTCAGCGGTGAGATTTAGATCGAGCGTTCATGATATATCCTGCTCAAATCCTGTTTCCAAAGAGCCCCTAAATCTTGCGGATTTACAGCATTTTTTGCAAAGAGTTGAGGTCGAAGAATCAATGCCGGCTGGAGGAAGCAAGCCATCGGCTGGTCCTGTCTACAGATGCGTTTAGGCCCAAAATAATTTCCTCGAGCTGCCTCCAGGAATAGATTCTCCTTGAGATTAGTTCTGATAAATATCTCTCTCTTAATTTTACTCTTGTTTCCGCTGAGAACTCTATGACGGAATCCATGTGAGTGGATACGAGTTCCGATGCAGACTCGAGGTGTATGATTGGGAACAGAGAAGAGGAGAGGAAGGGGGAGGCGGCGGTGAGCGGCGGCGGGGATCGTGGAGATGGGATGGGGACAGTAGAAGGGGAATTGCCGGCGAAGTTTGTGTTTGGGGCTTTGGCTCCGGCGCACAGGAGAGTTAAAGAGAGCCAGCTGAGTTCTGATGCCATCTTTTCTCAGGTGGGTATTATGCACGAGTTACTTGAGCTTGTTCGATTTGTTTTGGTGTCCTTTGGTATTGAATCTGCATGTTCGTTTTTATGTTTTTTTGTCCTGTTTCTTTTGTTAAGTAAAAGCATCAGCAACTGACCTTCCACCCAGAGTTAAATGATTTTACGGATTAATTTTAAGTTTGGTTTTGTATTGATATTTGTAATATTTTATTGGTATGGAATAAGTCTGAATTATCTTTTTTTATTAGTTCTCATTAATGTGACGTATGAAAAGGGGTTACATAAGAAAGATGATGCATTCATTACTCAATTTTATGATTGATAATACAGTGTAAAACTCATATGCTTGAAATCCAATGAATTTGGCGATGTGTACTTTGTCCTTTTTTAATTCTATTATTATGTCTTCTTGTATTTTGTTATAAGCCCATTCATATGTGAAAGATTTATCTTATAAATTTTTTTTGTCTATCTTAATTCAATTTACATGAGTTTTGATTGGTTGTTGCTAATTGTTTGTCTTTTTTATAGTGATCATGTAATATTGTTTGACTGATAAATTTTAGCTCTTATAGGTAATGTTTTGTTATAGGCTTACTTTTTTATTTTAAGTAACTAATTTAGTTATATGATGGATGTCATTTTAATATCAATAAATTACAAACCCCTTCCATTAAACATAAGCCTATTTTTTAATTTTTCATCTAACTTTTTGAGTATATTTCAAAGATAATACTAGTTTATATATATATATAAACCCTCACATTAAACATAAGCCTATTTTTTAATTTTCATCTAACTTTTTTAGTATATTTCAAAAATAATACCAGTTTATATATATATTGATTATACATAAATCATTAATACATATGCAAGCAAATATTGTATTTAATATCATTGATAAAGCATGTCATAAATTATTTTATTTTAATTTTTATGTCATATTTTTATTTTTTAAAATTTTATTCACATGCATCATATGCACGTACATTTATGCTAGATTATTATTTTGACACACTTCAAACTATTGTTTGTGAAGACTAATACAAGTTTTCATGCATATTGATTATGTATAAATCATATACAAATATATAGAAATATTGCAAGTAATATTCATAAATACTTAAATATTAATCATATATCATGTCATAAAGTAACTTCTTATTGGATATATATCTGATTTATTTGAAAAAAAATTTATTCACGTGCATATGTACATGTGCACGTGCATTTTACTATTAACTCTAACACCATCATACTAGAGCCAGCAAGGTAAATTGAATAGCTCGGTAAGCAAACAACAATTGTGCTGGATTCTCTAAATGAATTCACAAAATCTCTATGGACAATTATCAAGTAAAACAATCATATTTGGTAGATTCAGGCTTCTTTAGAGACAAATTTTTTATTGCTTTTTAAAACAGTTTTTAGTTTAATTTTTTTTAAATTAAAAATATTTTTTATAGTTTTATAAAATAGAAAAAAAATGTCCCAAATGAAACCTTCGTACTTAAAATTTTTTGGTTGCTAATAGCATCTAATTCTGCTATTAAAATCAATTCCCATTTTATACTATGTTCTTATTATGATTAACAATTTGTAGAGGTTGTTAAGATCTTTTTTTTCCAGGGTATCCTTCATCATAATTAGGAATAAATACTTCTTATGCATCCAAATATAGTTTTTTTTTTTTTTTTGGACATTAGGCCAATTAAGGCAAACACACACAACGCATACACATAGACTCGAACCTTGGACCTCTTAATTGGAAGCCTAAGCTCTCAACCAATAGGCCAAGGAGAGTTGTGTTCTCTATCCAAATATAGTCAATCACAAGAATATAAGAAACTAAAAACTGATTGGTATGATAACTATACACTATTGTAGGCTCATAAATATTTTTTATACCTATTTCAGGGTATAAAATTTCTAAGATTAGAATATTAACAATATAATTAAAGAAATTTAAGATTATTGTGTAGGAGAAAAATATATATATTATTACTATATTGTACAAAATTTTAGTGCTATGAAAATTTTGTTAGTATCTGAAGGGGGTTGTTCTAACTCAACCTATCGCAATTAAATCTATCCAGCTCAAATTAATCAACACAGGACCCATATTTAATTAGGGTCATCAAATCATTATATTAATCATTCACATAATCTGAAGGACAAAACTACTCACCAAATCAAATAGAGTAATGTTATACTAATTAAAAATTAAAACTTATAAAGCTTTGTGCCCCAAGTTTAGATGGCCCAATCAAAGCATCAATAACATATTCACTTGTGCTTTTGGTGTAGACTTAGGGTTCGTTTGGGACAGCTTTTTTTTTCTTTCTAAAACGAAGTTTTAGTACAAAAATAAAAAAAATTGTACTAAAACTCCGTTTTAAAAATTGCCGTCCCAAACGAAGCCTTAGGCTTTGTTTGAGATAATTTTTTTGTTGATTTATAAAATAGCTTTCTAGTAAACAAATATTTTTAATTAAAAAAATTTATACTAGAAAGTTGTTTTAGAAAGTAGTACTAAAGCTATCCCAAACGAAGCCTTAGAACACAAGTATCAATCAAATTTCATTTTTTTTTTTAATTTTTGAGAGTGTAACTTTGGTCAAATTATATTATAATTTTTATATTATTTGTATAATTGTAAAAAATATGAATTTACATATTGCACCTAAGCTTGAAAAACAACCCATGATCAGTAGAACCCAATCTTACAGTACAAATCCAATAAGACAACTCAATTTCTTTTGCTTCTCACAGCAAACCTCAACACTGGGGGTAATCTGGCGGCGGCGGCGGCACCGTCGTGGACGGCGTTGGCCCGTTCCCCACCTCCAACGCCATCGCCAGGCCCAACGAGAGGTGCCCATCCAAGTGGCAGTGCATTATCCAAATACCTGCATATTAATTAGTAATTCAAAATTTTGAACTTTGTCAAAATAAATATAAAAATTTTGTTCTTTGCAATTAGTGATGACTTACCAGGATTATCAGCCCTGAAACGGATGACCGCCCAGCCTCCTACAGGCACCGCAATCGTATTCCTCTCCTGCGGATTCACCAAATTGTACTTCTTCACCGCCTCCTTCTTCTTGTAATTCCCGAACCCCTGCGCCACCACATAGAAATTATACCCGTGAAGATGCAACGGGTGGTTCTCCGCCGCCAGCACCGCCGTGTTCTGCAGAACCATCTCCACCGTCGAGTTGAACTTCAATCTCTTCACCTTCGTCCCCTTATCCGTCAATTGAAATGATCCCACATTATTAACACTCGGATTCGAAAAATCATAAGCCACCAGTGGACGGTTCGGAAAGTCCTTCGTATACACCCCTCGGATCCTACGAAAATGCGCCTCCAGCATCGAAACGGCGGTCGGGAAGCTGAAGGAAATGTTGTTCATGCTGGCGGACAAGGCGCGGCCTTGGCAGAGCGGCTGGTTGGCGCTGCAGGGCGTGAGGCCGAGGCCGAAGGCGATGAACATGTGCTGGTCGATTTGGAGAGGAACGGAGTTGGGGCGGAGAGCGGTGAGGTTGGAGTAGAAGTGGTGGGCGGTGGGGGTGTCGTTGAAGGCAGGGAGGGAGGGCATTAAGGGAGGGGAAGAGGAGGAGGAAGGTGGGGAGTTTTTGTAGGTGAGGGTGGCGACGGTGGTGGTGTTGTCGAAAGGGGAGACGGAGACGGGAGCGCTGGCGTAGGCGATGGCGGCCATGTAATAGTTAGCAGGGGGGGCGTTGGCGTGGAGAAGGGCGTCGATGGTTTGGCCGGGGGCGATGGTGATGACGTCGGTGGAGAAGGGAGTGGTGTAGGTGGCGTCGGCGCCGACGACGGTGAGGCGGTGATTAGCGACTTTGAAGAAGAATTGGGAGTTGAGAGCGGCGTTGATGATGCGGAGGAGGTAGGTCTTGCCTTGCTCTACCTCGACCTTGTGTGTATCTGAATTCATGGAAATGGAGAAAATTTAACAGTGATTGTTCCAAAGTTTTTTTTTTTTTTTTTTTTCTTGATGAATTACATATAAATCGTTGTGTGATTAAAATAGATATCGAAGTTCTGAATGATTTTTAGAATTGGAATTTGGCTTACGTTTATTAGAGCAGCGGTAGAGATCGCCTGGGCGACCGTTGATGGTGAATGCGTCGGAGATGTTGAATGCACCCCCGCTTGCGAGGGCTTTGTTCTGAAGGCCCACAACATCTGCCTTCCACCATTCTCCTGCAGAATCATTAATGAATTAGAGAGATTTTTCTTTCAATTACATATTTTGTTACATAATTTAATCTAATATATCATATATGTAATCAATAATTTGTTTCTTTTATTTGCATATTTATTATTAATTAATACTGTTGGTGACATTCTTTTGAGCAACACCACATGTTTATATAACAATAATAACATTTATTGGCAAAATGAACCTCTTTTTTTAGGATGAGTAAATTAGAATTAAATTGTGCATAACTTTAATGATAAAATAGAAAAGAAGTTTTTTTTGAAAAAAAATTGATAAATAAATTTATTAAAGGTGAATAAAATAATAAAAAAGCTCAATCTACTAAGGATAAAAATATTTTAAAAGTCAATAATTTTCAATCATGAGCTATTCATAGGCTCGCTCTTGACGGCGAATTATTGCGTCCGGTCACCCAATCCAGACGCGTCACGTCACCCAAATATACTGGGCCAGTTGTATTTTTGTGATATGACGAGTCTGGATTGGTGTCCGGACGAATCCGGACATCGGACGTAATAATTTGCCGCTCTTGACAGCATTAGGGCATCTCTAACAGAAAAAACCCATTTTTCACTTTAAAATGCAATATAACTTCAAAGTGCCTAAATCATTTCTAATCAACTTCATTTCTTTCTTCTTTTGTGTGTTTCCTACGAATCTCTCTCCTCTTTCTCATGATTTTCTCCTCTTTTACACTCATCTTCTGCAAATTTCACAACCCAATTTTTATGCGTAGTTGAATAGTCTGATGTCAATATTTGCATCATACTATTCACCTACTAAACTAGGATCTTCATAATAACGTCATGCTTGCTTTTGTACCTTAAGATTTGAAGTTCAAATGTAGCGAATGACTGACGGCATACAGTCGGTTGGAGATGATCTTACTCATTAGTTAGATAATTTTGTTCAACACTCCCTCTAATTTCTTGATAGGTAGCCTCAAATTCTAACAAAAATTCATATATAGATATATAAGAAATGATACATGCATACAAACCTAGAATAATGGTTTCTTCCTTGTAGGGGTTGGGAAACGGGAAACCAACCCCACCAACTCTCGGATGAATGATTAGTGCTCCGTAGACCGTAGCCCGAAGGACTGACACATGAGCGTGCCACCAAAGCGTGCCCTCCTGCCCAATCACATTGAATCTGTATGTATAGCTATTTCCAGGCCGAATGGGACATTGCGTTATGAAGTTCGGCCCATCAGCCCATGGACTCATTCGCTGGAATATCCCATGCCTGCCAAAGCCCATCATTCACATAATCATAAAAGCCTTTTCTTTTTAAAAAAATAATAATATTTTTTTTAACTTACCAATGAATGGTTATGTTGTATGGGGACTCATTGATGACATGGATGGCCACAGAATCACCCTCATGGGCTTCGATGGTTGGGCCTGGATATTGGCCGTTCACTGCTGTGATAGTTTTGTTCTTGCAAAGCCTTCTCACGACAATATTACTCACCTAAATAACAAAATAATAATATTTTTTAAAACCATTAACAAAATATTAGTTAGCCAAATTTTATTATAAAAAAAAAGAAAAAAAGATAAAGTGATTTGACTTAATTAAATAAGAGTGAATTTGTTGATTTGAGATAATATTTTATTTATTTTAGGAAGGAGTTAAACAACTTTTAAACATGTTGCATGTGTTTGTTAGATGCTGTTGGCATGTTGGAATAATGGTAGTCCAACAAATTATATAAAAAAGTTCTAACCTAATTCGTTATGGGAGTTGTATTTTATACCTAATGTGACTGTGACTTTATTTTTTAACATATATATCCAAGGCTTGGGTACCTGTGTAATTAATGATTTTGACAGTTTGCTATATGATCTTTATTCTTTTTTTTTTTTTTGTGACGAGGAAGCACTGTCTTTAGGCCAGTGAAAACCCCGGTCGACCTAGCATGCAACCCACACCAATTTACACGGGCCAACACTTAAGGCTTTCATTGCTTGCCAAGGGATTTGAACCCGGGACCTAGGCTTTGCCCAGCCGGCTCTTCACCACCCGGACAAACAGCGGTGGGTGTTATTCCATTTTATTACATCACTACACAGAATCTCTCTCTCTCTCTCTCTCAATGTAAACCACCTACTAATATTGTTTAGGTTTAGGGTTGACCAGCAAACATGGAAGGTATTTTGATTGGTAATCTTACTTTTATAAACAAAGCATTAAAGTACGAGAAACATTAATTGGAATTTACTTTTATACGCAATTAAAGAGAGAGAAATGGAAGAAGATTGCCAAAGGCAATCCTCTCTCTCCCCCTCATCCTTCCCACAGCTCTCTTTTACTCCCTAATTATGAAAAAAAAAAGTTGTCATGATTATATTCAAATATATTTTAAGATTAATCATATTCATTTATCATGTGTTATTCATCAATGTAATTAAATTGTTAGACTTAAATAAATAAGATAAAAGTACATTAGTTTGTTTAAATAATTATTTAAAAAAAAAATTCTACCCTGACCTTCTTCCCTGCCTCAGAAGTTTCATTTACGAATGCTCTCTAAAAAGTAAGCTTATTCATCTTACTACAAGTACAGTTGATGGGATTAAAATTTCTTTGAAACACTTGCAAGCAATTTAAGAATACGAAGTATATCCCATGCATGCACGCTTAGTACTCTACCCTCTTTAAGTATTTCCCAAGTAAAGCAAATACTAGAAAAAAAAACATAATAAATGGTTCATTGTGAGAATATATATTAGCTTCCGAATATCTTTTAAGACATTTTGATTTTTTTTTCGGGGATATTTAAGCCAATTAAGAAAAATTCACACATATATCACATATACAAGACTTGAACTCAAAATCTCTTAGTTGATAGTCAAAACTCATAACTAACAGTCAAAATAGCCCAGCACCAGCTATGCTTTCTTATTGGCCTACTCATAGTAATATAACTAATTCATAAAAAAATACTAATGACTTCTCAAAAAAATTTCATGAACTATGATGGTCTAATCATTTTCATGCGTACGTAGGCTTGAGATGATTAGAACATCTAAACATGCAACCCTAAAATGAAACAAAACTATCATGCATGCATGCTATACAATGCAAATCATATATATATATTGAGCTAATGGATCATAGAAACATACTTTGAAAGTGTGCTTCACCACCTCAGCTTCCGCAGAGAAACTGAGGAAAGCAAAGATGAAACAAGCCAAGAAGAATGCAGATCGAGCCATGAAGATCACTATCAATGGAAATTGGAAAGGGAAATAATAGTTAGAAAACTCTTCTCTGTCCCTACGGATTGGTGTGCAAACTATCAATATCCTTCTATATGTTTATATAGTGTTGTAGGCAAGGATTAGTTCTAACTTCTGATTTCTATATAAATTAATAAGAACTGCAAGTGGGTCCTTACAAATTTGCGTGACTGCTTAGGTTAGCAGATGGCAGGTTTTGAAAAAGATTAGAGCTGGCTGAAAAGATCGATCGAGAAAGCTTGAATATATTGAATAAATCTATATGTTATATTCGTTATCTGACTTGACGACTTTATTGAGTTGGTAATGAAAGATAATCTTTTAGGACTGCAAAGTGGGAGAGAGTTGTTGAAGTGAAGGAGTTTCAATTCCACAAGAAAGCGCGCGTGAAATCCTCTCTCAACTTGTGATTATGTAAAGCATGAATAATTAACATGATCAATTCACCTAATTTTCATTTTGCTTGGCTTAATCCTCTCTTCCTGTACTTTGTTAGCATTAATAATTCTTTTGTTTGATAAAAGATTTATGTTTATCTTTTAGGAGCTTATAAAAATTGTATTAGTGTGTGAGATAACGGATGTATATTTTCTTATTCTCTAGCTTCATTGGAACAACTTCCTTATTGTTTTCTAAGCATCTCTTTTATTATAAAAATTCTATGAGTTAAAAATTTTTGTACTAAAAAGACGTTTTAGAAAGCAATAAAAATATTGTCCCAAACAAGAACTTTATATAGGCATCATCATTACAACACTTATAAGCTTTATATTTTTAATATCTTCGAAGAGAACAAATAAGAAGCCTTGTTAAACATGAGCTTTGTTTTAGAACGAAGAGAAATTTCATTAGTGCAATTTATGAAAAGAAAATTATGACAAGGAATATATTTTACACGTTTCTTCTTTATTAGGCCAATTAATTAATATATGGGTTGAGTCTTGACTTGATACAACCCAAATTTCAATCTAGTTATAAGCACATTCAAAATAAAATTTAAACACGGCCATTTGAAAATTCAAGCCAACCAACCAATTTAATTAACATTTGTTGGGCCGAGTCATGGATCAATGCTCATAGTTTCGATCAAAACTAGAATGTGATGATAATAAAAATATGTTGAATTAAATATTGATTCTTTGAAAGCGGTTATTAAATATGGGGAAAGCGTTGAAGTGAGTTTTTTTTTGGGATTCAATTGCATAAGATGATCAAATTTGCTAAGAAGGTTGATATTACCATCTTGTTGTCTATTTGCTCTCCTAAACAGAAATAACTTATAACCAAACTTTTCTTTGTATGAAGTCCCGGTGCTGCGTATCCGAGCGCTCCAGCGCTAAACTACAAAGAGCAAAGCGCTGCAGCGATGCAAGATATAGGCTTCAGCGTCGCAGCGCCCCAAACTAGCGTCGCAATGCCGTGAGACGAACTGAACGACTTTCTTTCTTATTTTTCTGAAGAATTGCATCCCTTGGGGTTATTTTACTCGGCTTTCTCTTGTATTTTGAGCATGTAGACATTAAAAATGGTGCATGTGAGAAGAGAAGGAGAGTGTAAAAGTGAAGAGAGATTCGTACTTATTTCTCTCAATTTTCATATTGGATTTCTTGGTATAGTGTGGCTCCTTAGTTATTTTTTCCCTGTTTTGAGTTTTTCCACGTTAAGCTTGGTGTCGCTTGGCTTCTCGCTCAACTGCTCTGATCCATCTCTACTCATACTTCGACATCTGCATGTTCAAATATTTTTGCTTATGTACGTAGAATCGTAGATGATATACTTCTAACTAGTAACGATCATGACGCTATCACAAAAATTCTTGGTCAACTCAACAACAAGTTCTCTATGAAAAATTTGGGAGAGAAGAAAATGAATTTCTTGGTATCAAAATAGATCATCACACACAACATTACTTCCTCTCTCAAAAGCAATACGCATACTCGATATTGCAGCAAGCTCATCTTATGCACTGTAACCCGCTATCCAATCCCACCTGTATGAAGCTCCCTTCGATTTTTCCTGCAGACTTTACACTTTCTGATCCAACTCTTTATAGGAAACTCACCAAATCTCTTCAATATTTGAAGCTTACTTGTCCCGACATCGCATACAACGTCAACTTGCTATCTCAACACATGCATAATCCTCTTCCTCAACACATTTATCTTCTTAAAATACTTCTATGCTATATCAAATTAAAGGTATGCTTGACTATAGAATACCCATTGCAAAAACTAATCTTATGCATAAATCTTTTTCAGATGCAGACCGGACTGGAGACCCAATCTCTCGCAAATCAACATCCGGTTAATGTTCCTTCCTCAGAGACACCATTATATCCTAGATGGTTAAAAAGCAGCAAACTGTTGCCAGATATCAACGAAATCGGAGTATCGTGCATTGGAGGCACTTCAGTGTGCCATAGGATCATCCAACAGATATGTACTGCGACAATACCTCTGCTATTGCACTAGCAAATAACTCAATCTCGTATGAAGTATATTGAAATTGACTAGAAATTTATCATGGATCATATTCACAAACACAACATTCATGTCTGTCCAATAAGCACAGTTGATCAAGTAGTCGATATCTTCACCAAATCTCTATCTACACCTCGTTTTCATCAGCTTCAGATCAAACTGTCAGTCATTCAGGAATCATTAGTTTGCAGGGGCATATTAGAGCATATAAACAAATGACGCCTATCCTATTTAAGTTGTGTTGTTTATGTTCTTGTGTAATGAGGTGGCATTAGTCATTGGTTATCATGTATAGGGGGCCACAATTCATTCACTTTATATATATGCTTGACTTTATCCCTGTAATAGACAAGACCCTTATCTCTATGTTCTCTCTCCCGTTCCAATCCTCTCTTCTTTGTATCTTCTTGTATCTCTACCATCTTGTCTTCTGAATTCTGCTCAAGATCTTCAGTTTTTACAATTTCTATCTTCTTTTATATCTTCTTTAGAATCACACACTTCATTAATTAATCCAGGACTCCATTGATGACACCCCCTCATTGCCCACTCATATCACCTTGTTCAAGCGGAACAAGTTATCCCAATGCTGCTTTAGTTAGTTAGAGGAGTGCCACTTCCACATACAATTGCTAATTTTAATACCACAGCACATGTTTTACTTTTTAGATGCTTTTATCATTTTAGTCCTCTTGTCTTGTGCTAGCTTTGATATATTGTTTCCTGTAAGAAGATACTTAGTTTTTTCCAGCTTAATTTACAAGTTGAGCTCTCCAACTCTTGCAAACTTTTACTGTTCTATTAGTTCTCTGTTTGCTTGTGCCTCCACCATTAGATCCTACATCACTTACCCTAATCCAAACGATGGGTCCATTAGTCTAACTTTGAGGTGATATTGCATGATAATATTCCATTTCAGAAAATAACATGAAATATATCATTCAATATTTAAGATTTTATAAAAAAGAATTGAAATTCCCTTAAAATTTTCTATAAGCAATCTATATTTTTACACATTCATAATAGATTTTAGCAAAGATAAACTTTGATAAACAAATTATTATAGAACTCTAGTCTCTAACCCCCTTTGAGTGTGGATTGATCTCCCGTTAGTTTTTTTTTTTCAGACTTCTGAGCCCATTAAGTCAAATTCATACACACATGCGTCACATACGTAAACTTCAAATCCCGCCACAACCTCTTCGTTGATAGCTAAAGCTCTCAACCAACAGATCAAGATGAGTTACATTTAGAATCCTTAGTTGCTCGATGACCCCCAATCACTCTTTTCCCATCTTTTTAGGAAAGAAATTGTGCCAACCATCTTCAATTCAATTTCTAGCCAACTTTTGATGGCCTAATTAGATTCAAGTAAAACTGACCTTTCGAACTATAACGTAATTCCTAACTTTCCAGAAAGCATACATTTCTATCTTGTTGGGGTTAGTTTAGAGTTGCTTACCCAAACAGCAAGCTTCCTTCTGGCACAAGCCTTGGATTTTGACCGCTTAAAAGCTATCACTTTTGACGTTTACCTCAGATAATCTGCTTAATAACTAATTAAGACTGCCGAGAATTCTACAAAAGTCACCAGTCTGGCTTACTGTAAAAATGAAATAATTTTATAATTTCAGTAATTAAAAGCCTATTAGGGATAATTTTCTCACAACTTTGTTAATAAATAATAATATTTAAAAATTTTAATGATTTGTCTCTCTTAATCCTTTGCCTTTCAAATTAATCAATTTGGACTTCAACTTGCAAATGGCAAAGGATACCTTCTCTCTGTATGCCACTGAAGGGTTCACAGGCAATATTCCAGCATCCAGCTCCTAGAGACTGACCATGAGATCCAATCAGAATCTGACAAAATAAATAATTAGATTTTATTTGGGACAGTTTTTCATATTACTTTTTAAAATAACTTTTCTAATACAAATATTATTAAATTAATTTTTTTATATTTATAAATTACTTTAAAATAGTAAGAAAATTGTTCTAAACGAAGCTTTAATATTTTTTAAACTCTATAGATAAAACCGGTGAAAATATTAAAACTCTGATAAAATTATTACATTTTATAAATGAATTACAAGTTTTTTTTACTTAAATTACATAGGTTCGATAAAAACTACTTAAAAAGTGAAAATTACTTTAATAAATACCAAGTAATAAAAAAAAAGGAAAGTTAGTTTCTCAACACATTAGCTGAAGCTAAATGAATTGGTTGGATTGGCTCAATATTTTCTTCCACTCAACTCTCTTGATGGCTTGAAGAAGCTGATTATTATATGTATATGAGTTCCAACACTAGGTTTCATTTGGGAGGACGACTTTCTTACTGTTTTCTGAAACAGCTTTTTAATATAAATTTTTTAAATTTTTTGTACTAAAATTTTTTTTTGAAAGCAGTATAAAAGTCGTCACAAATGAAGCCTAAGGCTTCGTTTGGGACGGCTTTCTTACTACTTTTAAAAATAACTTTATATTTTTATACTAAAAAACTACTTTAAAAAGCAATAAGAAAATCGTCTTACACAACTCTCCTTGG